TGGTGTGTTGTTGGTGGTGGGGTTTGGTGTTGGTTGGGGTGTTGGTTGTGGTGTGTGGTTTTTTGGGGTGTGTGTTGTGGGTGTGTTTGGGGGTGGGGGGTTGGGGGGGTGTGGAGTTGGGGGGTGGTTGTGGTTGTGGCGGTGGGGGATGGGAAAGGGGAGGGGGTTTGGTGGGTTTGTGTCTGATTGTGTATGCCGGTTTATGGGGGGGGAGGAGAAGTGGTTGGTTGTGGAGTGTAAATAAAATCTGCGTTGGGTAAAGGGGCAGAAAGACAAGTTTTGTAATTCCTTGAGGCTTTTGTGGTAGAAAAGGTTCAAGGATGCAGAAGTTGCCATGATCGGATAGAGACACACATACTTTCCAAGCTCGTCCATGGAATCCATACATTTATTCTTTACCCCCCCTCCACCACACCCCCCAATCTATTACTCGCCCACTGATAACTCCCGAGAAAGATGGCCCCTCCTACACTGATCCACCCCACCCTCGGACCTATCCCCGCAAAGAAGGCCCTCGGTCCACTCTCCCGCAGTATATCCTTGAGCATGCCTACCATGGGCTGTTTCTCCCTAGCAAGCATCATGCGCGTCTTGAGCACATCCAACGGCGTCGTAACGCCCGCCGCCACCGCCCCAGCAACACTACCCAGCACGCCGCCCTCGAGGCCAGAAACCTGCTCGCGCCCCGTCTGCGCCAACCGATAGCGCTTCAGCGCCTCCCAGAGCGGAAACTGAATCACCGTAAACGGCACCTCCCGGATAATCGTGATGCTCCAGCCGCGATACAACTCGCGCCAGACATGCAGCAAACTGTGCGTGCGTCTCTGGTCGAGGATAAACCGCAGGGCCGATAGCGAGCTCGGATGCTGACTCGCCTGTGCACGCTGCTTGACGACTTCGGTGGGCACGCGGACGGCGCAGGCGGCGACCTCGCCTAGACTGGCGGCGAGCATGTGGGTGAGGGCCTCGTTGCCTGCGTCTGGGTTGACTTGTTTGAAGGGCTTGCCGGCGGCGGTGTAGGCGGTTGAGGGCGCGGGCGCGAGGGCCCGCTTGATGGAGTCGTAGGTGATGAAGAAGAGGGCTGCGCCTGGGGCGGAGCCGACAATGGCAGAACCCACGCCGCGGTAGATGCCGGTGAAGCCGCCGGAGAGGGCGAAGCCGGAGGAGGATTGGAGGCGGGTTTTGAGCGTGTCGAGGGGGTAGAGGGAGAGGTCGACGGTTGTGCCTGCTAGGCCGCCTGCCTGGGGGGTGGGCGGGAGGGTGTTAGATGGGTGTGTGTGGAAGCATGTGTGGGAGGATGATTGACGTGGAGGGACTTTGGTGAGGGCATAGGATTTGTGGTATTGGAGGTTTGGGCGGGGTGAGGGAGGTGGAGTTGGGATAGAATGCCAGTCATCTCGCGACTGTACGAGACAAAAAAGTCTAGTCTCTTCACGGCGAGGATGGGCGGCTACATGTGACAGTTGCCTTGTGAGGAATTGCCCAAGTATGAAAAGAAGGAAAAGAAAAAGGCTCACCATCAGCGACCGCAGATACGGCGACTCCACCCATGCCCGTCCGCGCTGGGGCTCGAGGACATGCTGCATGATGGGAAGAAAAGGAAGACAGACACACACAGCGGGCAAGCTCTGAGCAATGACGCGACGCTTGCTGCAACGAGGCCGAGGCCTTGCCGTGCCCGCCAAAAGTCATGGCAGCCAGTCTGTGCGCAAGCCAAGGGACGTTCCCACGCGCCATCGACAACAACGGTACCTTGCCCTTGGCCCGGCCGGTTCATGCAGCGATGCGCATTGTAGATCTTGACACCAGCCTCGAAAGTTTATTTCTGGCCGCGAGCTTGGAAGTCGAAAGCTACGTTTCTTGCACGGCCTGGGTGCTTGAGTACCGGGACGTCGGGCACCGGGAACGGTTGGAAATGCAGGTCTGAATGATGGGTGGTCATGGGTTGAAAGTGCGGTGCCTTGCGAGTACGAGCGTGGAGGACTGGGATGGCGGGTATGCGTGTGGGCGGGAAGAAGAGGCGGAGAAAGAGGAGGACGAGAAAGAGCTGGGAGAGGGAGAGGGAGAGGGAGAGGGAGAGGAAGAGGAAGAGGAAGAGGAAGAGGAAGAGGAAGAGGAAGAGGAAGAGGAAGAGGAAGAGGAAGAGGAAGAGGAAGAGGAAGAGGAAGAGGAAGAGGAAGAGGAAGAGGAAGAGTCTGCTTCCTGGTGCACCGCAAACCTCCCAGTAGAGGACCCTGTCGAGGAAAGTGACATGGAAAGTGATACGTCGGACTCGGATTCGGATTCAGATTCAGACGACAACGACGAAGCTTCAAGCAGTGGAGCTAGCCCAGACTCGCAGAATGTGTCGCCAGACAAGCAGCATGTCAGCTGTATTCAACACGCACAGTTGTCAGCGGATGGATCCTGCATCTTCACCTCAGACTACAGCCGCATATTCAACGTCTACCCCATCGACTCCTCTACACCGCCTGCTGCAAGCCCTCACTCCCTCTCCCCATACGCCTCTCTCCAATCACCAAACCCCATCTGGGCCTTCGCAGCCAACCCACTCTTCAACTTCCAAGACGCCACCACCACACACGTCCTCATCAGCCGCAGAGACTCGTACATCACCCTCCACAACGCCCTCTGGGACATCAACCAAACCAACCCCAACCCCTCCCCTACCCCCAAAACCCCAATCGACATCTCCACCCCTCTCTCCTTCTACAAAAACATCAACCCCCTCACCGAAGCCGTCACCGCCCCCCTCAGCCTCACCTACTCCCACACCGGAACCCACTTCTTCGCCGGCCTCCAAAACTCAATCGCAACCTTTGATCTCACCCACACCGCCGCCCCAATCCACACCACCCCCACCATCCCCAGCCTACGCAACAAACTCAAAGGCGGCGGCCGCGGCTTCAAAGGCTCCATCTCCGCACTCGCACTCTCCCCTCCCTCCCCTTCCCACTCCTCCAACGGCCTCCTCGCAGCAGGCTCTCGCACCCGCTACATCGGCCTCTACGACGCCCACCACGCCCAGGAAATCACTTCCTTTCCACTGCCCGGCACCACCGTGCGCCCCGCATCCCACAACCGCATCCTCGCTTCCGTCATGGGCGATGGCGTCTCAAGCCTGCAGTGGAGTCCCTGCGCTAAATACCTGTACGTCGCCGAACGAAACACAGATGTCCTGCTCATCTACGACGTCCGCAACTTCTCCCTCGCCCTCGCCTACTGTGCTGGCCGCACGGCGCAGACCAAGCAGCGGCTCGGCTTTGCCGTGTGGAATGCCGGCGCCGCCTCGCGGTCTGATGGCGAGGCCGTGGCGCATGAGGTTTGGGCTGGTGGGATGGATGGGTATGTTAGGGTTTGGAGGGATCCATATGTTAAAGAGGGGGCGGTTGAGGCGGATGAGGTGATTAGGGTTGGGGGTGTGGCGGGGGCGGAGATGCCTGTTGTGAGTACACTTGTGCATGAGGGTGGGGGGTTGGCGGTTGCGGCGGGTGGGAGGGTGGTTGTTGGGCAGGATGATGGTGGTGCTTCTGCTGGTGCTGCTGTTACAAGGGGGAAAAGAAGAGGGGGTCGGGGTATCAGGCCGCTGTTCAGGGAATGGGGGCGTTTAGATATCTTGTCTCTAGTGTGAGTTGTACGCTCCATTCCACGGCCATGCATTTCAAGAGTAATACCCAACTGTTGTTAGCAATCGCCCTACCACTCTTTCCCACATTCTTTCCCACACCTCGCCACCTCGCCATCTTCCCCCGACTTACTCTTCCCCATTTCAATGAAAGACCATAGAATGCGACAATACCAGTCGACATGTTTCCACTCCACCTCAGACCCACCTACACTACAGTCTAGAAATACCACACGAATGAACAATGCACGCAGAGAAACGTCCATGTTTTAATTGTTATATCCAAGCTACCACACACTCCATGCAGTAGTCGTCCTTGGGCCGGGAGCAGCATCGCCCATGTGTCAACCTTGGCGGTTTTTGTTTTGATTTCCTCGGATACTGATACTGATACCAATGTACACTCCCTTGCCGCCTCTACTTTGCGTTTCTTGGTCATCACTGGATCCTGTTGGACTAGAAATATACATAATCTTTGATGTTGTATTTCATTTGCTTCTTGCTTTTTGCTTTCACCCCTCGCTGCCAGATTGTGTATCTTGAGTTCAGACCAGGGTCAGCAATGATGCCTTGGGCTGGATATAAAAATAGTCCATCTGTTGCGTTTGTTGTTCAGTGTCAGGATTGCAAAAATTGGATTCGCTTTGCTTTACTTTGCTTTGTGATCAGTTTGATTGATAAGTTTGATGTGAGTGAACCGTGGTATTCAAGGCAGGCAAGAGCCCGATGCTGTGTATAGTATGTACCCTAAAACAACTCACCATAGGACACCCCCAAAACCAACAGCGGATGGGAGCTGCGAAGAACTGTACCAGCAATCCCCTCTGTGACATGTCCTGACGTCTAGACGAAGTCATGTATCGTGATGGAAGGAACTCGTCACTATCGAATCAGATCAGAGTCAGATTCGCCTGGCTTGTTCGCTAAAAAGATCCCGAGCGTGGGGCAAGGAAGGGGGGGATGGATGCCATCGCACCCACCAACGCAACGCGCACACGCGACGGCCATTATTTGACGAACATGCGCCAGCCGAGCAGCTGCGTTTGATTTTAACTGGGGCCATCCCTGACTTTCCGCCTTGCTTACTCCATGTAGGATATTTCGATAGACGAGATCTGCAAATTTTACCAAACAGCAAGGCGTCAAATGTTTATTGCGACCGTGGATCCTGCTGCGACATCAACGTGAAAACGGTTGATGTCGTCGGCGCGCGCTGCAAGCCCACGCCGTACCAAGGCTGAAACCCTTGACTATTGGCGTCCGGATCGTCAGCCCTGAGCAGCTCAGGGTTCGCGCTCGTGCTACGGGCGTACGACAGTGGGGAGAGAGCGCAACTGAAGGATACATAGGGAATCGGCGTTGGTGCTCTCGGGAGGCCATGTGTTGTAGAGGTTTGCGCATGTCGCATATTGGTATTGCACACACCTGCGCCAGCTGAGCCGAGATAGTGGGCACGACGTCTTTCCTTCTGGTTTGCGCAACGCAACCGTCGTACACTGCGTTTGCAATGGCAGTGGACCCTGTGCGATTGTGGCTTTACCCGGATTAGCCATGGATGGTGTCAGCATTCAAAGTGACGGACAGGGTCTGGTTCTGACAAGCGCTCTCCTCACTGTACGTAGTACATGTCTCAAAAAGACAAGCTTCTCTTTTGGGAAAGTGTATTGTGGTTGCCAGTTGAGGCTGCTCAGAAGACTGCGCCGTGCGGGTAAATAGCATGGCAAATGACCTTGGACAGGCGGAGACTCCCCTTGCCTTGCCATGTCAGCACACCACTGAAATCACTATGCGTACCGTCGGAAAGGGCGGCCGGGCCGGAGTTGCAGAGATGGAACACTGGCTGGCCTCCTTGTACCAATTGGTGGTCAATTGGGTGCAAACCTGAGGGCTGACCGTCACGATGGTTGGACATGAGCCGACAGCTGGACTGACCAGACGAAGCGAGGGCAGAAAACGATAACTTGGTTATCAAGAGCAGGGGTACGGTGCGCCAGGGCCAAAGGGGCTCCAAAGCGACGGTGTTCGAGAAGACGTCCCGCTCGCTCCGGCTGGACCGGAGCCCAGGAACTACAGCAATCAGCCTTAATCAAGTGCATGTGGCGGTCCGGTGCGCAAAGATATTGGCAACCAGCAGCAGCAGCGGGTTGTGTACTGTTGCAATAGCCCTTTTCAAACGCGTCAAGGGGTGCCTTGTTGCCTTGTATTGAAAAGAGCGATTTTGTTCAGTGACGGATGGCAGCAGGGGAGGGGTGAATGGTGAAATGTCATTGCACGGTGCATGACGGCGCGACCCACAGACGAACTTGCCACATGCACGGTTCCATCACAGTGGAGGAGGGCCGCGAGGTGGGTGGGCCACCGTGGAGAGGGCCGCATCGTAGGAAGCTGATTGCAGGAAGAAGGACAACATGGAGGGAGGGTTGGAGAGAGAGAGAGAGAGAGAGAGAGAGAGAGAGAGAATGAGGGAAGCGACAAGAGAAAAGGAAAGAGGAGAAAGAGGAGAAATTGGCGAGTGTATGTAAGGATCTTGTGTAAATACGGTACTCATGGTAGAGTAGAATAGAGTACTACTACTTCTACTACTACTACTGTGTTTGTGCTTGTAGTAGTAGAACCGCAATACGCAACGTCTCCAGTGCGGCGGGATGGGAAGAGGACAAAGGCTTGGAGGGGCGATGAGCAGTGGAGAGTGGATTGGCAGGATTTGGCAGGTTCCAGAGAGTTGCAAAGCTGGTTGGGGGGGGGGGGCACTAGCAGGAAATGCACGTGACGGAGCTAGGTCGAGGCGGGCTAGACAGGGGTGTGTGTGGCCCACGGCCCAGTTGGTCTGTGCTGGGCTTTTTTCGCCTTTTGCAGACCAGCGAGCAAGCCGAAAAGCGGTGCTGAAAGGCTGTGTGTGCATAACCAACCCATACTCTCCTACTCTATACCTACTTATCCCTTCATCCTACTACCATATCTACAGTACCTATTACCCAGCCCACCGGATTCTCTCAGGCGACGGCGTTTGGAGGAGTGGGGGGAGGGGTTCGTCTCAGCTTCGCTAGTGAGTGAGTCGAGTGAGAGAGAGAGAGAGAGTAGGTACTAGAAGTCTACTCTACCTACCAGCAGGACCAAGAGTTTTACCGAGCGCTTTTACCTACACAAGTCCCGTACATAAGGGCGTACATACATACTACTCTGGAGACCAACGAACAGTGACAGGGTTCCTGCCGCCGAAGCGAAGGAGCCATTACAGCAAGCGAGAGTACCTAAGCCACCTCGAGAGTTCGAGAGTACCTACAGAGAGAGAGAGAGAGAGTGTAGCCATAGAGTGCATTCTACGCTATCTACCATACTACAGACTGCTGCATACTACACACACACACACACACACACACACACACACACACACACACACACGCACACACACGCACACACACACACAATCCACGGTTGCTGGTGGGTGCAGTGTAGAGTATAGGTAGGTACCTAGGTACCGTACCTACCACCACCTACAGGTACGTACAGTTTTTCCACACCTTCTTCTTCTTCTTCTTCTTCTTCTTCTTCTTCATTCTGTCTTTTGGCTTTCACCCTTCTCCCCACAACTGCTCGTGCCGTACCGCTGTCAGTCAAGGCCATCCTCTCTGCCTGCTGGCTGCCGCTCGCTTCTTCTTATCTGCGCAACACAGTCACGGCCACGATCACGGCCACGGCAGCCAAGTGCGCACAACGAGTGGGCCGGCGCGCTCGCGGTGGTGTGCATGGCCGAAGCGGCTTACAGCACAGCACATTCTTGACGTGTCGCAGCTGGCCCTTCCCACGCCGCGCTCTAGTCTCGCAGTGGTGGTCCTCCCCCCCCCACCCCCGAAAGTCACCACCAGTAGAGTTCCCTTGTGCGTGCCAGCGAGCCTAGGCCATAACGCGTTGCTAATCTACATACAATCCCGCGCAGGTGTACTACAACCGCAGCCCGTTGCAGCACCCACACTTCCACCATCTACGGTCCACGGTCCACACCACACCCTTCCCCCCCCCCACCCCCCTCCCAAACCAGCGAACCGAGGCCTTTTCCTTGCCCTTGCCCTTGCCCTTGCCCTTGCCCAC